ATATATATTAAAATATTACTTTTAAAATATTACAGTGTACCTAATTATTGATAATACACAAGCTTGAACGAAAGCTACTGAAATTTTTTAAATTAAAATTGGAATAATTGTATTTGACATAAACGACCGTAATAAAGTTAAATGACCAACAGTTAAATTTGCTGTTGACCGAGCTGATAAAGTAAATAGACGAGATAAATTTTTAATAAATTCAATAACTACAAAATTGATTTTAAACACTGGGGTGCTGCATGTCTTAATTTTTTTAATGGTATATATCTAAAAATAGTGTAAATCGTAATGTTAATGATAAAATTAAATTAGACGATACGGCGACAATAATTTGGTTTGCTGCAAGAGACATTTTTGTAATTTCAAAGTCAGTTTTACTTTTTTAAATAGCATGTCATGCTATGCAGAAGAACAGTTAATATCAAGTAGTGTTTTGCCAGAACATGTGTGAAACGAAACTGATACAGTGAAGAAATACGTTTATCTATTGAAAATTGTGAAAGTACGTGAGAAATAAAAATTAGAAAAAAAAAGCACTACAGAGTTATCTTATTTCACGGGTTGTATAATTAGAGGCTATGCTAGAAGTCTGGACAATAATTGTGTTAATGCACCAGCTGGTGTTTGGACGATTTCAAGAATCTACAGTATAAAGACAATTAGCATCTAAAAGAGGGGTAAAAGGAGCCTTTCGAGGGTCAAACTGATTAACTCCATAAAATAAGAAGTAGAGAAATTCGATGGTACTATACGAACCATTTTACAAAACTTAGTTTGAAATATACGAACAAACAAATATTATAGTGAATTACTGAATATGTAGGTTTTGCATTGTAAGATGTAAAATACATAAAAGTAGATAATATAAAAAGCAGTTGTTCGTGCTTTTACAAATCTTTTATAACTTTGTACAGTTAACCTATTTAACAACTGAAAATATGGAGATTGTACGAGAAATAAATAGGATAGACAGCATTATATATACCACTTTTATTTATTTGGTCAGTATTTTTAAAAATAAATAATCAGTAAAAATGAATATTTTGTCAGTACAATTTTGTTTATTTGGTTGGTATTAATTTGTTTTCTGGCCAGTAAAATGTAAATTTTAGGTTAGGTTAGGTGAGGTTATTTAAAACACTGACTTTTTGTTTCAATCGTTGTAATACTGACCACTTATATTACGTATTGATGTTTCATTTTAAATATTGACCATTTATTGAAAGTACCGATTAAAAATTGTTTAAAATACCGACGCAATAAACAGCAACCTATTAGATATATTAGGTTTATGTAAAGGTTTCCATCTAAAAGGCACTGTATCCTTATTTAAATTTTCACAGTTGGTATTTATACTAAATCTAGTATTAATATTATCTTATTAGTATTCTTATGCCAAACAATTATATATATAATAAAAAATAAATGCACATTCTTAAAAAAAAAATACGTTGGAAACTATCAGACAACAGAAGATCAATACAAAAAATATTTCAGTATTATTATTACTATTATTCCAGAGAAGTTGAATTTTTTTCTGAGAATAATATTTAGGTTCTAAGAAAGATGCTTTCTTGCTGGGACACCTATACTCACACATTTTTACAATAATGCTCGATACTCGCAGCGTCATTTACATGTAAAGTAGAGAAACCTGACTCAACGTGTTTGACTATTCCAAGTATGTGTACTTAGTGCACTTTGTTTTTTCTCGTATTACTAACTCAGAATTTCTAACGGTCGTCTCGTTCGAGAAGTATAAATGTGCGTTCTGAGGGACGATTTCTAAAGGGAAAATAAAGAAAAGAAGAAAAATAGCAAGA